ACCTTCTGCAAATGAAGCCACCCTGCTGGGGACGGCTGCTTCAGCCCCTGCCCGATGATTCCTTTGCCATGTGGGAAGCAACTGGCCCACTGGGCTCAGTGCAACATTTCCAGAATCCCCTCGTATTTTGTAGGACAGGGGAGCATGAACTTGGTGGTCCCCCCCCCCTTTCAGAGTGCACAATTGAAGGATGGCAGCAACCAAAAATTGAACCCAGGGGGAGAACATGGGGCATGCAGAGGGGGCAGAAAGGGGGAGAATATTGGGCACTGCATTTTGTATTTATGCTGCAGGTATTCTCTGCCTTTTCTCCTCTTCCAAAGACCGAAAGTTGCTTACAGGTTTCCTCCTTTCCATTTGCCCTGTGAGGGAGGTGAGCTCAGAGGGAGTGATGGGCCAAGCATCTGCCAGGAGCTTTGAGGATGGGGGGGGGGGGGGGCTGGAACTGGCCCTCCTGGGCCTCCCTCTTGGCACTCACCCCACCAGGCCCCCTGCCTCCCAGAAGACGCTCCAGTCTCCCTCTGGTCTTCCCCACGACAGTTCAACCCTTCAGCTTGGGGAAATTCATTCTTTTCTTGTTCGGCATTACAGAAAGCAGGCCGGGTGTCTCTGTTCCATGACTACCTGGAAGCATCACAGGTGAAACTTCACAATGCCAATATTTACATGCTAGAATAGCCGAAGGAGACAATGCCCTATGGGCAAAAAGTTTGTATTTAGTATTCAATAAGAAGAAGAATGTTGGAGCTACTAATGGCAAAGCAAACGGGGCAAGACTTTTTCTTATGACAACATTTAACGACCTATAAACAATGCATCAATAAAGTTGTATGTAGGTAAACCTGGAAAACATTAAAACCAATATAAGAGGATCTAAAATCACAGCAGGTATAATAAAATTAACATATGGCAGAATAGAAATAGTAATAGTATTAAACAGTATTCATAATAATAGCAAAATGAAAACTGCATTTGTTTAAATCTCTGTAAAATAAAAAGATTTTGGCACTGAAATGAAAGTGAAGATGGTACCAGGCATAGGTCTCTGCAGAGCATAATCCAGGAAACATTTTGAAAGACCTGAATGTGAATTTAAACAACAAATCTATTATTACTATTACTAGTAATACTTTTACTACTGCCACCATTACTGTTACTTACTATTATTATAACTTTGAGCAAAAGAAAATGGCAAGACCTTTCTCATTGCCAGTCTGTGTCCAAACCAGACTATG